TGCACGAGGTCGCTGTGGCCGAGCAGGGAGCGCGGTGCAGGCGGGCGCTCAGGCTCCTCAAGGCGGCGCTTCGTGTTGCCCCGGCGATCCATGGCGTCGCTCTCTGAAGCTAACCTTAACAAGGAAAGACGGCAAGCAGTACAAGCGCCTAGTCAGCACAAGATATGTCGCAGGTGGCCGTGCAGAGTGCATCACAAACTCACCAAGTGTGTCCACTGTGTATCACGCCACCTCTTCTTTGCGGCGATCGGGATGCTGCGGAACTGTGCTCAAAAACGCCTCAAGCACCTCGGCTGAAGCTTTAGGCCAACAGCAGGCGGTGGCCATGCATTCGCACGTCTGCCCATCTCTAGGATAGGCAATGCCTCCGACCAGGTCATTCTGCCGGGATATTTGGCAATGCCACCTGAGTGGGCAAGCTCATCCAAGCTGCGACTGCAGCTCAGGGGCCAGAGTCGTGTTGCTTGCTACTGCCGCGGCCGTTGTAGTCTCCCTCTCAGATAGTTCGGCATCAGTCGACGGGGCCTGTTGACCTTTGTCGGTGTCCAAGCTCTCTGCCACATCGTGCAGCACTGCCGCCGCAAAGCGTAGAGCCCACGCCCCGGTCGGGCGTTCAGGGGCCGCCCAGTCACCCAGGTGTGCTCGGGTAGGTGCTGTAATGCGATGTCCATCTCCGCTGAGATCCACCATCGGGGCTGGGATCGGCTCCTTTGGCTCTGCCGGCATGCTTGCTATCTCTTCTGGTATTGCCGCAATGGCATCCTCAAGCAGCTTGGTAGCCTGCCGGATATTGGTCCGATGGGTGGCCTCGACCTCGCTGTCTGCGGGAGGGTACGGAGCCCAAATGCCCTGCAGAGATGAGGCCTGTTCCGGATCCGGCTCAGCAGACAGGGCCATGCCCCCTTCTCCCGTGGGAGTTTTGTCCATCATGTCATGGTCAGAGCCAAAGTCAGAGATGGCGGAGCGCGGGGGAGGAGGCGGTGGATTTTCCGCTACCAGGTAGCCATCGTCGTTGGAGTATGCCTGCCATGGGTAAATCTCCTGGAAGAAGGCTCGCTCGTGCGTGCCACATGTGCGCAAGGCACCCTGTAGGTAGAACTTGGCGAAGGTGGCCGACCTCTCCCATGTGCCAGTTCCCTGGGCCGTGCCACCAACTTCTTCATCCACGAAGGTACCATTCTTGTTCCCGAACTTGTGGTCGGGCCGGGTGAAGATGGCCGAGTCTCGGCTAATGTTGCCGGAGTCATTCCACAGGAAGGCGGTGACCAGGACTTGAGGCTTAGTCGCCGTCTGAATCCAGGTNNNCCAGGCGGGAAGGGAGAAGATGGAGAGTGAGGGACCGGGAGAGCTTCGCGTGCTACCCAATGTTGCAATTCCTTGTCCACGTGATGGGGCAAGGTCTTGATTCGTTTGCGAGAGCCCTCGTGTGGTCGTTCTCCCCGGCTGAGGTGGGCTTTGATGCACTGAGCGAGGCGGTAGAAGTCTCCATAGGCCGTGCGAATGGGGTGGGCAGCCGCTTCGTGATGGGGCGGCCT